CAAATCAGAACCGCCCTAAAGAGGTTTCTTGAACACTGAAAGACAAAGAGCAATTAAAATGTAAACAAGAAGTTGTAAATAAAGAAAGCACTCTCTCTTTACTTCTGTCAGTATATACAGTCTATATCAACTACACTTGTATCAAAAGTTTTACATACATACACAGCCAACATAATATCAAAATATATTTTATTCTGGACCTCTTTCAGATCTGATTCAAATTACAGTTGTCAAAGCAATACAATGCAAAGGGAAACTGCAACAGTAACAACAACAAAAGAAATGTGCCTATAAAGGATAAAAGGGTCATTGGGGACAAATCATTGTGATGTGGAACCAAAAACATCATCGTTAAGTGTAATTAACATGGTCCAGGACAGCATAGAACAACTGTTATCAGTCTTCCTTACACAATAATCATGAAAACTGAACAATAAAAGTTCTTTAACATGTACAAAAAAACTGTCATGGGCTGGTTTACACTTTTACAACAATTTTAAAGTTAACTGGATAACTAAAGAAATGATGCAGACATTTTAATCCAGTGCTATATAGGTAGGCTCACAGAATTAGACCCAAAGGATTTGTAAAATCAAAATTAAAACATTAGAGCTAAAATGTCAAAGTCATTAAAGAAGAAAATTACTTCTGTGTTTAGGGATTACAGATCTACAAAATGCAGTCTGTCCTGTTTGTTTTTAAGGAGATGGATAAGTACATCAGACTAGATACAACATGCAGAATGTTTTCCTGAACTTAACCAGAAATCCCAAAGAAAACATCATGAACTGGGGGACAGGGGGACCACAACAAAACACATATGCCCTAGTTATTCACCCTGCTTCAACACTGTCAACATAAAGGCAAAAATAAAGAATGCTATTAATACCTCAGAACTACTAGTAAAAGACATCAAATTTCTTAATCAGTGTATTAAAAAAGTGAACACTTCCTCTTTTTCTTCTCTTGTCTACTTTTAACTAGAATGTTTAAAACACCTGATATTGAATGTGACACTTCAGAGCTATTACCAGGAGTAATTAATAATTTCCCTACCCTCTCTTCCATCCGTGCTGATTCAAGAGGGGGGAACCATTCAAAAGTAGGGTCTCTTGTAGATTTGCTGCTGTTCCCCAAAATGTTGGCATTTGCTGCCATGCCACAATGTTGGTCCACTGAAAATAAGATTCCTGTAGAATCTGTCAACAGTAATTTATCATATGCAAGTACCATCCTTACCATGCAAGAACAAATTCAGGTTTTGTGGAAATGTACTATGTGCTTAAGAAAATGAAAACAGTTCTAAAATAACTAAATAGCATTGCATCTGAAATTTATTTTTCTGCTCTTCTAGTAAAATTTACCATTTTTGCTCACATAAGGATGGTCATTTGCTATTACGTTTTAAGAGCAAAGGAACAAAAAAAATGCAGACTCCTCTTCAGGCCTCTCTACTCAATAGTTTACATTATTCTTAAAATCATTCTACATAAACAGCTCCTTAAAAATAGTACTCTCTCATTAAATCTAATTTGACAGAAATAAGTTTAAGAAAAAAAGGAGTGCTTTATAAGTGAAAAAGTACAAATCTTTGGCCTTTCTCTTGACATTTTCACATGTCAAAAAGCAAAAAAATCTTCACATAATTCCATCTAGCGATAACTTTTTGCACCATAATTTGTTTTTTTTTTTTTATACCACAAAAGGAGGCACTTTCAGTATCTGTATAAGGTGTTTAATCCTAAAACATACTTCTAGAGAATAATTAGTAAACACAATTAGATACACTCTAAGACCTATTAGGAAGTGAAAATTTCTCATTTTTAAGTCTTTTGAAAGTCAGTGATGGTACCTCATCAACAATAGGAAATAGAACAAATTATAAGAATTTATGGGATTACCTACATGAAAATGAACAAAGGTATTCCTTTACGATGCTTAGAGTGATAGCTGCTCTTCATTGTAATTCCTTAGTATTTGACTTTTCCATTCTAGTCTTAACTTATGATAGTAAGGATAGCAAGATTCCTTTCTTACAGTAGCTTATACAACAATGATACATAATAAATACCATAGAAAAAAACTACTGGATTCAGGTGATCTTTAGGACTAAGTTTTAGGGGGATGGGGAAGAGAATGAAAATTAGGCAAAAATCTCAAATACAGAACTTTAGGTATAGTGAAACTTGGTTTCTTGCAATCACGTTACTCCCCAAATTAGGGCAATTTCATTTTTGTCTTTTGGAGCAGCATCGTGGCACATCAGCAGGCAAGGATGATGTTGAGAACAGCAGCAAAAGTAAATAAATAATCATATGCTCAAAAACAACCCATGCCTAGAAAATGGATACCTTTCAGATAAATTTATACTTAAAAGACCCAAGGATAAAAAAGCTCTGTATTTATAATCTTTTATATGTCCTACTGTGGCTATTAAGCGTAAGTAAAACTGCTAAAGATTAAAAAGAGAAACAAAAACAGAAAAGATGACAATACGATAAAAATGTAGCTGTCTATTCTGGCAGCTATATTGCAGAATTTCTCCACTATCTTTTAATTGGCTGGGGGGAGGATCACTAACTGTATGCAAATGAATAAATTGTCCATATCAAAATACAAAAGTACTGTCAATAATCACCTCTGACTTTCAGATTTAAATTCAGTGCAATTGACAAATGCATCACTAAAGGAAAATGCAGCTTAAACATACTCAAAACATTTGTGTCTATTCCTGGGAGCACATTTAAAAATTATTGCACAGATTTTTTTTTATTTTTCTTTTTTTTAAACAACAAGAGAGGTATACCACAGATGTGGACCTCCAGGAATAAAAGCAGGATTTCAAGTGCCAGATACTCAGCATATTAGGTTTCCTACGTTAAGTCACAGGGTATAAGAGTTCTAATCTCTATAATGTTTTCCAAAACCCTAAAAACAGCTGGCAGAAAACCATCATGAATGACTGTCTCTCTGGATGGAAATTTTAAAAAATAGTATTACAGTATCATAGTCCCCACTAACAACAATTGGGGTATATTTAACAACATATTATGAAATTAAGTGTATTTACTGTCTACCAATACCAAATGCTACCCTACCTTAGTAAAACCAAGACTTGCTTCAATCAATGCTGTTTTGGAAAAACAGCAAAAACAACAAATGCTGGAAATCAGAGCTGCATTACTTGGGTTAAAAGAGTTTCTACTTAAACTCAGAACACAGGTTAAAATTTAGCAGTAAAGGCCTCAAATAATTAGTGAAATAGTTATAAATTTGCTAAGCTCAGTAAGTGATTCCCTACTTAACATAAATTTGAGAACTATTCTCTTCAAAATGAACACTCCCAAGATTCTGTTAATCATGAAATCCGTTAATCAAACAAATAAACACGGCCTCATGCTGTCATTTGTATATTTTAGATTTCAAGCTGCATGAGCACAAAAAGAGATTGGATTTTGATAACTATCTTTAGGAAAATATCTGATATTATGAACAGATTAAAAGTCATAATATAAAAAAAAGAAAAATAAAAAAAGTCATAATATAGTAGTAATTGATGACCAAAAAAACCAAACAAAAACCTAGTAGCTTAATCTATCTATACTTGAAAATCTGTACTCACAAGTACACAAGGCAGAATCAGCAGCAGGGAGGTTAGTGCAATCACATATTTTTAAAATTTGGAGTCATCATTATTATTTTAAAACACCTTGAAGCAAGTCTTTTGTTTTCAAGATTGTTTTTCAAACTAAGGTAGCAAACGTTTTGCCATGTAACAGCAGTGTTATATGCTGTTATCTTGCTTTGTATAAAGAAAATAACATGAGAGATTTTTAATACTGGAGTTTGGTTACATCATATATTAAGCTTCTATGCATAATGATGGGCACTTTGAGAAGCTATTTCTTATCCAGAAACATTTTAATCTCTTAAAAACAAAGCAAAAGAAAGAAAGAAACAAACAACAAAAAAGAAATTCAAATCTGCTTTGCTCCTTTTCACAATAGTGCACATTTTAACCATAATTTAGTTATGGTCACAAACTATGAGAAGAATTTTTCTTTTTTTTTAATTCATCTTCAATATGGTTTTTAAAAACAAAACAAAACAAAACAAAAACCAAAAACATTTTGTGCCCTTCTAATCTTGAATTGGCAGAAATATGTCCCCCAAAAAGAAACTATTGCATTTCAGCCACATCACAAAAAAACAAACAAACAAACAAACAAAAAAACCAAACCAGAGCATAATACAATTTACTGATGTATCTTAGAGATTCACATGACCAAAGTCACAGATTTTTATTTACTTTCCAACTTCCCCTTCCCACAACATGCACCAATTGAATATATGCTCTGGGAGCCATAAAATGTACCAAACATCTACCTCTTCAAAAGAATGTATTAAAATATTTTTAAGATTTTTTTGTTTGTTTGTCTTAAAAGGTGAAAAAAAATATCAACAAGAAACTGATTCACTCTTACTTCATGCATCCATTAACTAAACAAAAAAAAAAACACAAAGTTTAAAAGCAAGAACAAACTACTGCTGCAAATTTTGTAAGTCCTTTTTCTTTGTACATACAAACTGCTTACTGAAGGGGGAAAAAGATTATTATCCATGGTGTGTGCTGATTCAAAAGTGAGAAACAAGGCTGTCATTAGTATTAAAAAAATTTGGTACATGTATGATCTGGTTTTATAAGTATATTTCATTTTCTCTTCTGTTTTTCATATCCAAAACTTCTAAATGCTATTTTGGGGGAACAGCAGATTAGGTTCCAGCACTTGGTAAACAGAATTCACCAGCTGTGACAAAACTCTGTCATCTTCAGGGTGCAATTTTGTTTATATACACTGGACGTATATATATTTTTTTTTAGATTTGGCTGTAGTGGACTGGCCATGGTTCAAGTGGGACTATAGCAGTACATGGGTCAAGGACAGTCATTTTGGCTATGTACACATTCATAGTCGGTCCATGGCTTCCAACTAGTAGCGCTATTTCCGAAGGTCTAATACACAAACCTGTAAGAAATTACAATAATCAGGAAGTGTTTTAACTGTAAAGTGTTAAAAACTTATCAATTCTAAAGAACAGTTTGCAATCTGTAGTTTTCAAGTTCACAAACCCAGGGAGTAATAGTACTCATGGAATAAACTTAGCAGGTTTGGGAGCGGGATGAAGATAGTGAGTTAATATGGCAAATAAACTACATAGGGTTACATTTTTTTATGAACTACTCTTTACTAATAAAGGAGAGAAAATTCCAGGCAGGTTATTCCTATCTCACAGACCCTAATGAATGAGTGCAGAGTTCATCAGATGATACAGTGACTCTTCTATCTTCCCTTTGCTTGTAGAGTTTGGGAAGCCAAAACTAGTATTTCTGTGAAGACATATTCAACTTCACTAAAAAGAAATGAATATATTCCCATTAACATTCATTCCTCAATTTAGGAATTATTTATTTTCCCTACTCCTAGGCCATCAGTTTTCTTTTGAGAAGTGAAGGTACAAATGGGTATTAACTAAAATAATTTATTGTCTCAGTCTTAATTAAACTAACAAAAATCTCCTTGGCGGGGAAAAAAAACCCATAACCTAAAACCTAACTAATTTGTGATCGTGAAACACTTCTGGCTAAACATCAAATCTTGTTTACAGTATGTGAATGCAATTAACATGAAAAATACACCATTTTGAGGAGGAGAAATAAAAGAATCTCTAAATTTGTTTTCAAAAGAACACTTCTGTGTTCTTTCCTAGTCATGATCGCAATAAGCCATAATTCTCACCTGTGTCCATTTCTGTCTCTGTCCCCATCCCCCTTTATGTTGTTGTTAAGAGCCGTCGAGTCGCTTATGACTCATAGCGACCCTATGTAGAACAGCCCTAAACTTCGTTTATAGATCATCTTTATAGAAACATCTTGTTATACTTACTGAACCATCTGATGCACTGGCTCCAACTTTGTCTCCTGCTGCATTCCAGCAAACTTCAAATATTCCACCTGTTCCCCTATAGCTGTGAACTAGAGCACCTGTCTAAATAAGACAACAACAACAAAAAAAAAAACCTAATCACAAAAGTAAACAATACATCACTATATATGCAAAACTTTAAAAGACATTATTTGGCTTTATTTTCAACAGTCAGAGTTGAGGGTCAGATTCAATTTCAAAATAAAGTTCTGACCCACTAGAAATATGCTACTCTATTGTCAACAGCTTACATGTTGTTGTTGTTATGTGCCATCAGGTCGCTTGCAACTCATAGCGACCCTACGTACAAGAGCCCTAAACGCCATTCTATCCTGTGCCAACCTCGCTGTCTCAAACACACTCATTCCCACCACCCCAATCACAGAATCAATCCATTTCATCGAGGGTTTTCCTCTCTTGTGCCATCCCTCCACTCTCAAACATTATGTCCCACTCCAAGGACCAGTCGCTCCTTGCAACATGCCCAGAGCATGTCACACGAAGCTTCAGAATCCTTGACTCCAAGGAGCATTCTGGCTTCACCCTCTCCAGGACAAACCTGTTTGTTCTCCTAGCAGTCCATAGTATATATATTCAACACTCTTCTCCAGCACCACAGCTCAAAGGCATCAATTCTTTGTCATCCCTATTCATTGTCCAACTCTCTGATGCATAGCATGTAACTGTGAAGACTATAGCCTGGATCAGGTGCACCTTAGTCTCCAGCCTGACGTCGTTGCTCTTCAGTACTCTTGAGAGGTCCCTCACAGCTTACTTTCCCAATGCAATTTGTCTCTTGATTTCCTGGCTGCTGTTACCAAGAGTGTTGACTGTGGAACCAAGTAAACTGAAACTGATAACGATCTCAATCTCTTCACCATTCATACTGATGTTGCCAAATGGCCCAATTGTGAGAATCTTTGTTTTCTTGATGTTGAGCTTCAATCCAGTCCCTGCACTTCACATTTATTTCAGCATTTTAAAAAAACCCTTTCCTCCCCCCTTTTCACTAACGCATTTTTTGGTCTCCTAACAGTCAATAATAGCTTTAAGTAACTGTAAAGGAGCTCTGATGATGTGGTAGGTTAAGTGATGAGCTACAACCAAAACGATGATACTTCGAATCCACCAGCCACTCTGAACAAGAAAGATGAGACAGTCTGCTCCTGCGGGTTTATGGCCCTGTAAAATCTATGTATGACCAGGCTCACTTCAACTGTAACTTTTGATGCTGTTAAAAAAACTGACAAGATGAAAAGGGAAATCTAAGATACTCCCACTGAAAGTATAAACTGGTCTTGTATGGGTAATTTGGATAGCAATCTGACATGGATAATCTATCTTATCTTTCATTCACAGCAATGCTAATATTCTTTACAGGCTTGTGATTTCCATTCAAAGCCATGTCCATAAAATAAATTTTCACCCATGTGCACAAAAGAAATACATCCATAGATATTCATAGCAAGCTGCAGTTTACATAAAATGCCATGGATTTCTAATGAATTAGAAAATGAACTTTAAAAATGTAATCTAAGAGGAGTCTGGTGGCTGAGTCGTTGTTGTTGTTGTTATGTGCCGTCGAGTCACCTGCGACTCAAAATGTGATCTACAGTACTCTAGCGCCATCAAAACAAGCCTTCATTCTAAAGTGTACGCATTAAATTTCAAAATATATAAAGCAGACAGAAAATAGGAGTTGCACAATGTATAATTTTAACACATAAACTAATAGTATGTATTATTTATCAGAGCATGATAGAGACCCTTCAGAATTGCTAATCTCTAAGAAGGCAAAAGGAATTGAACATATCACGAGAACATTATAAATTAAAAATAAAAACAGGCCTAAACTAACTGTGGTAAAGTGGTCTTATCACTGAGGGACCTCTACATAAACATTATTTTTATATTTTAATATTTTACAAATGCAAATGAACAAAGCTAAAAATTAATTTGAACGCACACTGAAATTTACACTGTTATACTTTTAGTTTCATGAATCAAAAATGAGTTAAATTCATTATTTACTTTCCTAATTATAAAGTACTAATCTGAAATGGAATTTTTAAAGTGTGTGTTGTGTATATATATACAAAATATGTATGTATTTATGTATGCATAGTAGTAGTTACAGCATACACTCAATAAAGGCCTATAGAGAGAAAATGGAATAGACGTTATATATTTTATTTATGTATAGGATCTGTAGTATATGGTTTAGCAATTATTCAAAAAGGAAAAAATATTTGCAACTCAGGTCACAAGATCTATTTTTCTAGTATATAATGAACTAGAAATCAAGAAAAAAGTAGTAATTCAGGAAAAGAATAATGAAGTAAACAAAAATAGCAAAACTTACCATTAGACACAGAAAAACTTTACACTGTAAGACAATGATCCAGGAGGTATTAAAAGCAGATGGAAGGAATATATTGAGTCATTGTATCAAAAGAAATTGGCGGATACAAAAGAATTTAATGAAATAACATTTGAGCAAGAGCCTATGGTGATGAAGGAAGAAGTTCAAGCTGCTTTGAAGGAAATAGCAAAAAACAAGTCCCAGGAATAGATGGTATACCAATTGACATATTTCAGCTAACAGATGCTGCACTGGATGTGCTCACCAAGTTGTGCCAAGAAATCTGGAGAACAACCACTTGGCCAACTGACTGGAAGAGATCTATATTTGTTCCCATTCTAAAGAAGGGTGACCCAACTGAGTGCGGAAACTACAGAACAATATCACTGATTGCAGACTCAAGCAAGACTCTACTGAAGATTATCCAAAACGACTGGAACAGGACAGGACATCAGCAGAGAAGTGCCAGAAGTCCAGGCTGGGTTTAGAAGGGGTCGTGGTACTAGGGATATTGTAGCTGATGTTAGATGGATCTTAGCTGAAAGCAGGGAATACCAGAGGAATGTATATCTGTGTTTCATTGATTATGCACAGGTGTTTGACTGTGTGGACCATAACAAACTGTGGCGGACTCTGAGAAGAATGGGAATCCCAGAACATTTAATCGTGCTAATGAGAAACCTATACTTGGACCAAGAGGCAGTCGTCAGAACAGAGCAAGGGAACACCACATGGTTCAAAATTGGGAAAGGTGTACACTAGGGATGTGTCCTATCTCCATACCTTTTCAACCTGTATGCAGAGCAGATTATCCGAGAGGCTGGGCTCTATGAGGAGAAGTGTGGCGTCAGGATTGGTGGAAGATCTATTAACAATCTGCATTATGAAGATGACACAACCCTGTTTGCTGAAACTGAGGAGGACCTCATGCAATTGCTGTAGAGGGTCAAGGACTGCAGCCTTCAGTATGGACTGAGGCTCAATATCAAGAAGACAAAGATTCTCACCATTGGACCAAGTGGTAGCATCAGGATGGATGGCGAAGAGATTGAGATTGTTCACAGCTTCAGTTTGCTCAGCTCCACGGTCAACACTCTTGGCACCAGAAGCCAGGAAATCAAAAAACATATTGCGATGGCAAGTCTGCTGTTAGGGACCTCTCTAAAGTACTCAAGAGCAATGGTGTCTCTCTCAGGAGACTAAGGTGAGCCCAATACAGGCCATGATTTTGCAACCACTTGTTATGCATCCGAGAGTTGGACAATGACTAGAGAGGATAGAAGGAGAATTGAAGCCTTTGCGCTGTGGTGCTGGAGAAGAGTATTGAATGTACCTGGGACTGCCAAGAAAACAGAAAGATTCATCCTGGAGAGGGTTAAACCAGGCTACTCCTTGGAAGCAAGAATTCTGGGGCTTCGTATGACATACTGTGGACATGCTGTAAAGAGAGACAGGTACTTAGAGAGGGACATCATGCTTGGCAGGGTGGAGGGACAGCGCAGGAGGGGAAGACCCTCTATGAGGTGGATTGATTCAGTGACTGGGGTAATTGGGATGGGTGTGTCAGAGGCAATGCGACTGGCACAGGATAGAGCAGGGTTTAGTTTAGGGCCACTGTACATAGGGTTGCTATGAGTCGCAAACGACTCGAAGGCACATAACAACAACAAGACGACATTAAAACTCATAATCTCACTCATAAGAGAAATACAAATTAAAAACTATATAAAATGAAGACTACCGGAGGACATATTCTCCTACTACCACTCCAAATACAAAATAGAACCATAGTTACACTTTCTTTTACGAACAGAACTCGGGAAAAGTCTCACATTCTATCATGTTTGGGGAAGGGGGGAAAAACGGAAACTAAATTCATTTTTATGTCTGATCAATATATGAAAACATAACTTAAACTGGTTCGTCGTTTTTGTTGTTGGGTACTATTAAGTAGATTCTGACTCAGAAGGCCCTAACTTACAATAAAACAATGTTGTAGCAGGTACTGTGTTGACCCATCTTGACAGGCATTTTTCTCTGATGCTCTACTTCACTAAGTAGATGTCATTTCTCTGATCCCTCTGAATGACATGTACAAAGTACGTAAAGCTAAGGCTCATCATCCTTGCTTCCAAGAACATTCTGATTACATTTCTTCCATGACATGCTTTCACTTTCCTGGCAATCCATGGAATAGTTAATATTCTTTGCAAATCTAACGTTCACATGCACACACGCATCAAATATACTCTGGCTTTCCATATTCATTTTTTCATCACATTACAAAGTAACGTGTAAAGAAAAAAAGGGGGGGCCTGGGTAAGTGTACCCTGGTCCTCAAAGTGAAATCTTTGCTTTTTTACACAGTTTTAGCAAGATATTCTGTAGCAAACTATAATGTTGGATTTCTTGACTGCTCCTTTGAAGTATCAATCCAAGCAAAAAGAAATCTTTGGCAACTTCAGTTTTGGTTTTTGGGGTTCATCTCTCCTGCAAACCACTCCTTTATCATGTTGTTATTTATTGGTTCAGTGATGTTTGTTTTCATTTATGTTTAAATGTAATCCAAAAGCTACAGTCTTTCATCATCACCATCATAAGGAAGTCCTACAATAGCTCTTCATTTTCAGTAAGCAAGGAAGTGTCATCTGCATATTACAAGTTGTCAAGGAGTCTTCCTCCAATCCTGAAGCTGCATACTTTTCAAGGTATCCAGTTTCCTGAATTATTTGCTCTGCATACAGTTTGAATAGGTATGGTGAAAAGATATAACTCAGATTCACATCTTCCTGATTTTAAACTATGCAATTATTCTGTTCAAATAACTGATTCTTGCTCTATACAGACTCTGCATGAGGACAATCAAGTTTTCTGGGATTATTGTTTCACAGAATTTCCCCCAAAATTTGCTATCATTCACAATCACTTTTGCATAGTCAACTAAAAAGTTAAATATTTTTCTATTATTCTCTGCTTTTAAACAAGATCCATCTGCCATCTAATAATAGTATCCACATCTTCCTTAAATCTGTCTTGTATATCTAGAAATTTTCTGTTGATTACTACCTGAATTATCTTCACAGAATTTTACCTGCACATGATATTAATAGTACGTTAATAGTATTCACATTCTTATGGATTACCTTTTTTTGGAATGGGGACAAAAATAAAAAGATCTGATGAGTAGCTGTTTTACAAATATCTTGGTGCAGACAAGTGAATGCTTTGAGCACTAACTTTATTTGTTGAAGTACTCAATCACAATTTTATAAATCCTTACAGCTTTGTTTCGCTGTTAAAGTGTTCAGAGCAGCTTGTCCTTCATTCAATGCCATTCAGCTTTTGAAATGGTTAAATACGTCTGTGTCTGTGGTATTAGACTAAAGTTGGCCATATATATATATTTTTTTTTAAAAAAAAGACATTACAGTTAGCCTTCTTTGGTCTCCAGCTACCTTAACTGTAGACACAGTCTTGTAAATCATCAATAGCTGTGTGACTGGGTAAGAGAAAGAGCTATTCCCACATCAGACAGCAAGACTTGAGGTGAGCAAGACTTGGGTGGCAACTTAAGGGAGTCTGGAGTAAGATCCTAGTGATGGCTGTGGAGAAACTGTTGCAAGCTATGTCCTGAGGCTTCTTGCTTTTGTGTTGTCCACAGACAGTTAAAAGGTTTTTGCTATTCTTGCCAGATGCTTGAAAAAGCAGTTGTCTTACAACTGCCCCGAGGTAAACTTTGCTTGATGATTTGAATATGACTGCTGAATTGAAACCAGAGCCTGGACTAATTGAGGAATTATACCATTGAACTTGCCTCCCCAACTTACTTCCCTAATAAACCCCATTCTCAGTATCACAACTGTGAGGCAATGAACCTCTTGCCGTTGATGTGGCTCAAGAGGCACCGTGGAGCTGGGCTACAGGCTCTTTTATCTACTTTCTGCTCTGGGGCAGTGAAAAGCTGTGCTATTCTTACTCCTTCTCACCCTTTCAGAGAGATGCCCATGGCCCTTTGCCCACGTGCATTTTTTGTTCTTTAGACAGTGTCATGCCAATTCTTTCCCTCAGTATTTTAGCTTGAGAAATGTCTGTTCTTGTTTCTAACTCCAAGAATTTTCTTTATTTTTTGATCTGTGCCTTGAGTAAGTTTGGATCTTTTACTTTGATTTTTCCCCCTCCAATTTGCTTTAGAGCTATTCTATATTTCAAGAGCAAATTTCAAAAGGAGCTATGGTGGCCTAGTGGCAAGAAGTTGCACTGCAATCCTGAAGGTGCACTGTTTGAATGCACCAGATGCTATGCTGGAGGAGGGGCAATCTCATCCTGTCGGATCTGATCTGATGGCACACAAGGGAAAAAAAAGAAGAGCAAATTTCAGAGCATCTTCTGGATGACTTATTACATAGAAATTTCCCAGAAAATGTATGCTCATTATAAAACAACATTAAATAATTTCATCTACAGGTTAAGAGAGACCAAAAAGAACATAGGCAAATAGTTCCCTTTATATATAAGAGTAGTTGTCCATTAAAGTAACGCAGACATACCTGTGTGTTCCAGATGTGCACGCATTTGTCAAAAGAACCACTTGCCAGATACCTGCCATCAGGACTGAAAGCTACACTGTACACAGGCTCTTGGTGTTTTGTCAAAGTATGAATGCAAATGCCTCGGTCTACATCCCATAACCTAACAGTAGAATCGAAGGATGCACTGTAAGGGGGGGAAAATATTTTGTGAGTAACAAAATACTCTAATTTCCTTAGAACAGGTTAATGTACTTAGGAGAAAGAAAGTACTCTGAGAAGTGGAAGTTAATCAAGAAAGGAGGTGGTTTACAGTCATCTAAAAGTTCCTCAATCAGACCAAGTGAGCTAAGAGTTCACTGTAATCCTTCCATGCACTACAAAAAAACTGAACACTAATCAACAATATTCTAAATTTATCTTTTGTTGAAAATGTTTAACCTTATTGTATTATGCTTCAATTATTAAAATCTTAGTTCATTTTTTATATGTCACTATTTTCTTTGACCAGACAGAAAGTTTTGGGACCCTAATATATAAATTTTTCTGTTTTTAAAAGGTGTAGCACAGATTTCAATCTCATACAATCTTTCCTAGACTCCTCCCGATATAAATTTGAGAGAAATTTTATATTTAGAATGCCCATAACAAAGAAGAGTAAAGCAAAAATATTACCTTGCCAACATAAGGTTAGCATTTGGATTATTTGTTCCTGGTCCTGTTGGACTCCATTTAATAGTATATATTTCTTTGTTATGTGCTTGTAAATCATGGACACAATTGTCTTGCTTCATACTCCATATCTAAATAAAGAACACAAAAAAAATAAAAGCATATTACTATTTCATGTAATGGCTATGTTTAAACTATTATAACCCAAAATACAAGTAATATATAACCAAAACAATTTAAGGGAGATTTAAAAAATAACCTGAAATTAGAATGTAGGAGGCTATATTTAATATTTATTTCTCTAAAAAAATCATTAATTAAGCATTAAGCTTTTCAAAAAATATTCACTGTTATGAAGTCTGAGCAAAAATTAATTAAATCTACAACCAGGAGAAGATAAAATAGATAAATGGGACCTTCTAAGAATCAAATCCCTATGCACATCCAAAAACTTCTCCAACAGGGTAAAAAGGGAAGCCAACAGACTGGGAAAAGTGTTTGGTAATGACATGTCAGATAAGGGACTTATATCCAGAATTTATAAAATACTTGAGCACCACAACAAGATAAAAGTAAATAACCCAATCGAAAAATTGGCACAGGATATGAAGACACTTCACCAAAGAAGACATTCAGATGGCCAACAAGCACATTAAGAAATGTTCAAAATCCCTAGCTCTAAGAGAGATGCAAATCAAGACAACTATGAGATATCATCTCACCCCAGTAAGAATAGCAAAATTCAACAGAACAGCAGGCAACAAATGCTGGTGAGGTTGTGAAGACTGGAACCCTTTTTCACTGTTGGTGGGAGTGTAAAATGGTGCAACCCCTGTGGAAAGCGGTGTGGCGCTTTCTCAAAAAGTTGCAAATAGAGATACCATTTGACCCAGCAATTCGACTACTGGGAATATACCCTAAAGAGACCATAACCAACATCCAAGCAAATACATGCACACCATGTTTATTGCAGCTTTGTTCACAATAGCAAGGAGTTTGGAAACAACCTAAGTGCCCATCAACAAACAAATGGATAGAGAAGCCGTGGTATATTCACACAATGGAATACTATGCTGCATTGAAAAACAAGAAACTCATGCAGTATTATTCAAAATGGGTGACCTTGGAAGACATTATGCTGAGTGAAATATCTCAGTCACAAAAGGACAAATACTATATGGTGCCACTATTGTAGAATGAGGCTGATATCAGGGTAGGGGTAAGACTGAGAAATACTGGATAAATTATGTTTACTGCATTGAAACCAATGAGGGAGAGAACAGCTTAAAAGTAATATATTTTAGGGCATTATGATTATCATAAGAGTTCGGAATGAGGGTTGCAGAGTGGAGTATACTCGGGATGGGGGTGGGGGGGGTGCAGGGGGATTGCATACCAATGAAGGAATTTTTCTTTTGCTTTTCAAGAAGAGCGAACTGGGGGTGGGGGTGGGGTGGGCAGGGAGAAAAGTGCAACAATGAATGAATGGAAATGCAAAATCTCTGTAAATGTTCATTGAAATTAATAATAAAAAATCAATTGCAGTTGTTCTATGATTAATTTTTTTTCTAGAAGTACTTTCGACACTTTCATATCATCCAAACTCCAGCATTCAAAAAATTCCATGACTGATGATACTGAAATTATGAAAGCATTAGTTTTTAAGCTGTCCTTTAAAGATCTACACTATACATTCCATTCAGAATCTACAATCAGGCAAGATTCTACAATGGAAAGAACAAAATATGTAAGAATTTATTAATACTAATGTTTTATATAGAAGAAATCATGAGTAGAGATAGTAGTAATTAAAGTAAAAACAGTAAGCAGAGAATAACCTTTCAGGAATAAAAAATAAACTTCTATATAGATTTTTTTTGTTTTTAAATTATTTGTAAAGCAGTCACTAAGAGAAGTACATGTCAAAACAGTATGGCAAAATCATTACATAAAGACATGGTGTTTGGGGAGAAAATTTGGCATCACCTTACACAACTGTTGAAAGAGAAACAAAAAATAGGTGGATTCCATACTCTTCATTATTAACACATAAACAATCTCAAATCAAACAAAATTGCTGATGAATCAGTACCAATTCACTCACAGCTGACCCTCAGGTGAGTTTTTTGTTGGACTGTAAATTGCACAGAACTGCCCACATTCTCCCTCAGAGCAGTTGGTGGTTCATTTTTTATTTTTTTTTTAAAAGTCGTCTTTGGGTTAGCAGCACAACTCCCAGAGCTACCTGGACTACACCATCAGAGTGCCCTTGAAAAAGCAGTATTCTAGAGTTTTTGTAATCTACTTCAGTCATAACTTCATGCATGGAAAAATCAAAGAACACAACAGATTTTTCAACAGCACTAGATACTACATAAACTACATCCATCCCTCACATCCCTTGATAGAATTATTCTTTACACTCTCTAACCACTTTGCTGATTTCTTCTGGAAGCTTTTTCCACTTAAGGTAGCTGGTTTTTTAAAAAAAAAATAAATAAAAATTACTATTATTATTTTTGTATGTACCATCAAATAGGATCTGACAGGTACAGGAGGGGATTTCCCCTCCTTCTCCAGCAGACCCTCTGGTGGATTTGAACCACGTACCACTGGGATTGCAGTATAGCTTTTGCCACAAGGCCACCAGAGCTCCCTTTAAGCTAGCTTTTAACGCCTTTCTTTCTCTTTTTTCTTTTAAGGTTTTCATCTTTTCACCTAACGTTTCTACCTACTCAAGATTAATTTATAAACATTATCAATGAATATCAGCTGCTGCGAATTATAAAAAATTTTATCTTAATCTCAGAGCTGTTCTCTGAGCATAAGACTTATTTACCACTTCATTTGCATGACTAAAAGGCACCTCTCACATTCTCGCCATTTCTAAAATCAAATATATACTCTTTTCTCTCAATTGGAATGTGGTAGTCTGTAATTATTTTCCTAAGTATTCTCAATCACAGTAGAGATTACAGCTTTGAGAACATTATAAGCAATTCTATTGTGTTCAGCAGGGTTGCTAGAAGTCAATTTATTTTCTTGGAAAATTACTCCACTAACAAATTATTTATCCATCTAGTTTCTATTTTAAAATATTTTAAAAATATAATTAGTTTTATGATGAAGAACTATTCTCTAATGAATTCTAGTTTCAATATGGCTCCCCTGCTGCATCTCAGTCCATAGCACTAGACTCTCTAGCCACTGATCCTTCTAAACAACATTCCATGTAATGACATTCAGGAAAAATAAAAAAGATAAAACCATTAATGAAAAGAAGATTTTTTTGATTGTAATATTTCTCAGGGATTCCAGACTTAGGAATTATCGCTAAGTAAAAATAAAGTATGTCTTTAAAGGAACAAGAGTAATTGTACAGTTACAAGATAAGTAAGAGGAAAAGTTATTTCTTTACATTATTATCACATCTGTAAGGGCCATCATGTTTGCAGTCTTCATCAAGCCACAGATTTAATGTATTGTCAATAAGAGTTAGCAGGCTGCAGGAAAGGGCTCACTGTTTTTATTAATTATTAGACAGTTCTCTATCTCAAAATTATGCTTTTTACTTGAACTGTCCTATATAATAGGAGACTTGGTGGCATAACAATTAAACTACTTGTCTGGGAACCTGAATGGGTGGTGAACTGAATCCACCAGTCACTCTGCAGAAGAAAGATGTAGTAGATGGCTTCCATTAAGGAAGATTGCAGCCTCAGAAATCCTATGGGCAGTTCTCCTGTATTCTACGGGGTGCAAATCAACTTAATGGCAACTGGTTTAAGGGTATGATGGGCAGGGCAGGAAAAGATGTTAGCAGTGTTCTGATTCAAGCAGTCAGAAAATGCAAATTCAGCTTGAAATGGATATATAGTTAACTAGGTATCACTGGTTGACCAGAGAACCACTTTATATCAGATTCCAAAGGGTAATGCATACTCATCCTAAAGGAAAATTAATATAATTAATGAAGTTTTAGTAAAATCCAAAGTTTATTAAATCTTAACTCTTAGTGAAGGTAATACATAAGCCTACCCTTCTTAGAGCATAATTCCTACATAATCATTTTATCAGTATTTATTTACTATACTTATTTAGCGTATCTCAGGTAGGAAAAAAAAATAACTACATACAATTATTATTAAACATTAGAAAGTAGGAAAAAGTTCTCACACAGGTTTAAAAGCTCAAAGAAATACGAGGTAAACATTCTAGATGGTCTTAAAATGACCAGCAGAGTAGCCACACTGGGCAAAAAAAGCTCATTTCACTTATTCCTCTTTAAGTACCTTCAAAGTCATGTCATCAGAACAGGAGGCCAGGAGATTGCCAGTTGGGTCCCATTTGATAGCATTTACTTCATTCTAAAATGTAAGAGTAAATAGTCACATTTTCACTTTGTAGAGTGATTTGTCCTTTGGATGTTAAACTGACTTAATTCAAATAAATTCAGAAACACTACGTATTTATAATTTTAAATGGCAGGTGTGGGAGGGTATCTTACCGTGTGTCCCTGGAATGTTTTAATAGGTCTGTCTTGTCCCAATTTACAGACATGAATGCACATATCTGTACTACAAGAAGCAAAGGTATTGTTGCTCTGCCAATCAACATCCAATGCTGGTGCTAGGGAAGGGGAGGAAAACAGGGTTTGTACTTATTTCATACGATCTGAAAGCTATACATTTTCATTTTCAATGATGGTTGTACATCTGTAAGTATGCAAATAAAAAATTAAACCCTTTAAAGGGAAGTTTAAAAAAAATAATGCATACATAAACTAATAAGCATTAATATAAGAAGAAGCCTCAGTTTACTTGTATCTATGCAAAACATAACTAACGGACATAACACTGCCGATTAATACAGAGATTAGAGTATCTTACACCATGCTTTGCTTACTGTTAGCACTGGTTATGATTTCTCATTTGAAAAGTGGTTACTATTCAACTTAAATTTTAATTTCTAAAATTTCATGAGTGTTGAGTGCACAGGCAGCTTTGATTCTGTCACTAATTAGTGAATCCCAAACAAGTGACTTAAAGTCTCATTCTTATGCTATTTGCTCACTTAGAAACAATGTCTCTTTCTCCTTCATTGCTGTCAAGCTGGAACCTACTCAAAGCCAAATCTGCAGTGATTTTCCGAAACTAAATTACAAAGGAGACTGTCCTTTCTCCCTTCGATCAGTGGGTGGATATGAACTGCTTATCTTTGAGCTGGCTGCACAAATCATGACCTCCTAGGTCCTACCAACTTACAGACTGATGACGAAAATCAAGTGCTTTTACCTGGGAAAAAATGCTTTTTAAATCACAAAAATTTAATGTTATATGAATTACCTCTTAAAATATGTATCATGGAAATTAAATTCTCAGAGGTCCAAGAGCTAGTTAGCATTTAATATTTACTCTGATTTTAGCTCTAATATCATTAAAACTTCTTTCCTTTCATTTTTAATTTTCCTCTGCTGCAAAGTGCAAGAGCTCTCTATAAATAGCAACATAGATTAAAGTTATGACAGCAGGTAATTGGGTTATGAAGCAAAAACTAAGCACTAGCTTTAGGAAAAGCACTGAGAAACTATGAACCATGAACAATAGTTTTTTCATTTTCAGAAAGTTAAGGGGTAAAAGAAAAATGATAAATCTCAAGCGTCCATAAATACAGTTAGAACACAGGCAAATTCATTCACTTAAATATTGTCTATGACCGGTTTTGCACCAGAGACCTGATGGCTCACAAACCTAAAATATTTACTTTCCAGTTCTCTCTAGAAAAAGTATGTGACTCTGATTTAGAGTCAGAACTTAAGAGATGAAACAAGACAAAAAGAAGATCATTGAACTATTTATTCTTTTTTTCTTTCTATATCTAAAGCATTTAGCAAAGCAAAACAGACCTGAAGTTTGTGGTGAGGGAATAGGGGGAATGAAATTCTGTCAGGGAGCCCTCACCAATATACTTGCCTTTCACATTATATCAAGTTACCCTCATTCAGAAAGAACTGAACCAACCCCTACTTAAAAAGTAATTCCTCATTATAGTACTTTCACTCAATTCAAGCCTTTTCTTGCAAAGCTAAGTAAGAACTGTATGAACTTGTTCCAACAGACCTACAAATTCATAAAAGACAGCGAGAAAATGAATGTAAACTGAGGACTGTACAATGGTAACTGAACTAAAGTGTTGGGAAAAGGATGTCATAGTTTGGTAGAACAACAATGAAAATGAAGGAAACCCTCAATGAGGTGGACCAACACCATCAACACCACCAAAACAGACTTAAGCACATCAAAGACAAAGTTAAGGGAAGATGTTTTTAGAAGTTGGAAAAACACAATTAATCAAGGTTTTCAAACTATAGGAAGAAAATCTGGGTGACACAACAAAGTTCGATAGGTAAAGAAATGTATTTCATTAAGTGGATAAAGCATCCAAGTGAAAATGAAACTTTCAGTGCAGAATAACTAAGTAATATGATGGTATTTGAAAGTAGTAGTTTTGGGTATTATTTCTACAGTGAAAAATCAGGAGCTAGAACATTACCTTGACGAAAGAAACCCTGCAAAGAAAGAAATACTTATAAAACAGGAAGAGCAAAGTATTGTAAGCACTTACTTTAATAAGAGAGATAAAGCTAAGAGAGAGAGAGACACACACACATCGAGATTCAGAAAAACAAATTTAAAAAGGAAACCAAACTACAAGTGGAGGATGCTGCAGCAAAGTTATAGAATCAATGTTCACATATACTCAAAATTATGGGAGCACACCTGGCTCCTTAGCTACAAAGGTTATGACTGATCTAATCTAAACAAACATACACACAAAATATTCAACATTTATTTAATGCTCCAAGGAATCGTATGAAAAATATAATGTTGTTGTTGTTGTTATGTGCCGTCGAGTCGCCTTCGACTCATAGCGACCCTATGTACAACAGCCCTAAACTCCGCTC